AGTTAAGTTAACATGCCACGTAAGCAAAAATTAACGGAATGACCAAAAAGGGGTCGGATTTGTGAACAGTAAGGACCAAAAAAGGGATTTTTTCGGTACAGGAACTAAAAAAGAGTTTTTTCCTATAGTAGAAGGACCAAAAAGGGTATTTAACCTTTTAAAAACCCTAATTAGAATAGAAGTATGATTTCAAACAGAATAAGAAACTTGAATGTTGGATGCTGAATGTATGGTGCTAACACCCCGAATTACGTGTCAATACAAAACAGGAAACAGAAAGTTTGATTCTGAGTGATTAATGCATGGTGTCGACACCCAGATCATGTGTCGACACTACACTCGTGTCGGGTTTCTGGCCTCCTTTCACAATTTCTTCAATGGTAAAATGACAGATCTATCCTCCAAATTTTGTACAATGAATACTTAGATCCCAAAACTCAAGATTCTCTCATTAAGGTCCAAAGGAGCCCTTATTCTTGCAATTCAGTCCCTCAACTTTCAAAAGATATTCAATTAATTCCAAAAACTCTTCTTTTATGTATTCAAGTCCTTTTCTGCTCAAATAATGAAAACCATGTAAAACTCAATAAAATCTCATAAAATTCATCCAAATATCAATAACACCAAGGCAACAATTTCACATTAATATGTATACAAATTCAACTTATCAAATTCCCCCAAACTTAAGTTTTACTCGTCCTCAAGTAAAATAAAAAAATAAACCAAAAAAAAAAAGAAAAACATAACTCACTTTCGTAGGAATCACGATTGCACTTAGCATGTGCAACAAGCCTTTAAACTCCTAAGTCACCATAGTGGATGAGTTGTGTCTCGTGAGGGTTTTCAGTGGATCTACCTACAAAATCCCAATGCAAGAATGTAACTACAAGATATGCATGCAAAGAAAATTTAGGAATTAAAGTTTAATTAGAGGCAAAATCTCAAATATTCGAGAGTTTTCATGTACTCACTTAAAGTCAAATACTCCATCCTATTCTTCACACCACTTGTTAAAAAATTTAGCTCATGAGCACTTAGTGTGTGTGTGGAAATTCATAATAAGAAGTCTTAAGTTTAGACTTTCACACCTTAACACTTATTACTATTTTTTTCTATTTCTTCTCCCCCCCCCCTTTTTTTTTATTTTCTTCCTATGTCGAGTTTCCTTAGGCTTTCTAAGTTACCCATGTAACGAGCTTTTTGTCAATGACTCCCAAACCAGTTGGCTTAAGGGCATTAGGTGAAGAGACACCCCTAACAAGTAACAAAGGCCACGAAACATTTGACTTCTTTTTCTTTTCTTTTCTTTTCTTTTCTTTTTTTTTTTTGATGAGTTGCCTCCCATTAAGCGCTTCTTTACAGTCATTAGCTTGACTATCACTGCAAAATGGTCAAGGATCTTTTAATAAAATGGTGGAATTAAATGCTAAAAAATTACCACCTTCAACATAAATTTTCAACCTTTTCCCATTTAGCTTAAAAGTTCCCTTAGTATCATGTGAAATCTCAACAACTCCATAAGAAAAAACCTTAGTCACCACAAAAGGACCACTCCATCATGATTTCAACTTACCTAGAAAAAGTCACAATCGAGAATTGAAAAGAAGAACCTTGTCACCCACATGAGACTCTTTCTTTTGCACATGTAGATCATGCCATGCCTTGGTTCATTCCTTGTAGATCTTGACATTTTCACAAGCAACAAGTCGTAGCTCTTCCAATTCATTCAATTGCAATTTTCTATGTTCACCTACATCTTTCAAATCAAAATTCAAGTATTTAATAGCCCAATATGCTTTATGCTCAAGTTCCACAGGAAGGTGACAAGTCTTATCAAAAACTAACTTATGAGGAGATATACCTATTGGAGTTTTGTAAGCTGTCTTATAAGCCCAAAGTGCATCATCTAACTTAAGTGACCAATCTTTCCTAGACAAGTTAATTGTTTTTTCCAAAATTCTTTTCAATTCCCTATTAGACACCTCAACTTGTCCACTTGTTTGAGGGTGATATGGAGTAGCAATTTTATGGGTAACACCATATTTAGCCAATAAATTTTCAAATTGCTTATTACAAAAGTGTTTACCTCCATCACTAATGACAGTCCTAGGTGTGCCAAATCTAGTGAAAATATTACTCTCCAAAAATTTAACAACCACCCTAGCATCATTAGTAGGACATGCAACAGCCTCTACCCATTTACTCACACAATCTACAGCAACAAGAATATACTCCTTACCAAAAGATAAAGGAAAAGGACCCATGAAATCTATGCCCCAAACATCAAATATGTCACACACTAAAATATTAGTCAAAGGCATTTCATGTCTCCTAGAAATATTACCAGTTCTTTGGCATTGGTCACATGCACTCACATAAGCATAAGCATCTTTAAATAAAGAAGGCCAATAAAATCCATATTGCAAAACCTTAGATGCTGTTTTGGAGGCACCAAAATGACCATCAGCTTCTTTGTCATGACAAAAACTCAAGATTGCATCTACCTCTTCTTGTGGTACACATCTCCAAATCATTCCATCGCTACATATCTTGTAAAGAAATGGTTCCTCCCACAAATAATGTTTAATATCAGAAAAGAACTTCTTTTTCTGATAAAATGATAAGTTAGGAGGTAAGACATTACTCACAAGATAATTAACAAAATCTACATACCAAGGTAAAAAAGACAGAGCACACAAAGAAACTAAACACAATTGCTCATTTGGAAACTCATCAAGCAAAAGTTGATCATCCCCACATTCCACATGCACCTCATCTAACATGGACAAATGATCAGCAAAAGAATTTTCTACATCTTTTCTATCCTTAATTTCTAAGTCAAATTATTGCAGCAACAAAATCCATCTCAACAACCTAGGTTTGGCATCTTTTTTAGCAAGTAGATATTTAAGTGTAGAATGATCAGTATAAACAATCACCTTGGATAAAATTAGATAAGGCCTAAACTTTTCAAAAGCAAACACCACAGCAAGCAACTCTTTTTCAGTAATAGTGTAATTCTTTTGAGCATCATTCATTGTCTTACTTGCATAATAAATGGTGTGAAATTTCCTATCTTTTCTTTGTCCTAAAACTGCACCTAAAGCATCATTGCTAGCATCACACATTATCTCAAAAGGCAAATCCCAACAAGGTGCAACAACAATAGGAGCATTAACCAATTTCTCTTTCAACAATTGAAAAGCATTCATATAATCATCATCAAAGAAAAATGGTGTTTCCTTAACCAAGAAATTAGTAAGAGGCTTAGCAATTTTTGAGAAGTCCTTAATAAATCTCCTATAAAAACCAGCATGTCCAAGAAAACCTCTAACTTCTTTAATTGATTTAGGAGGAGCAAGCTTTTCAATTATCTCAACTTTAGCTCTATCAACTTCAATACCCTTAGAGGATACTTTATGACCTCGCACTATACCTTCCCTAACCATAAAATGGCATTTTTCCAAATTCAATACTAGGTTAGTTTCCTCACATCTTCTAAGCACCCTAGACAGATTATGTAAGCACGCATCAAATGAAGAGCCAAAAACTGAAAAATCATCCATAAAAATTTTCATGAACTCATCAACAAATTCAGCAAATAAAGACATTACGCATCTTTGAAACGTACTTGGAGTGTTGCACAAACCAAAAGGCATTCGTCTAAAAGCAAAAGTACCATATGAGCAAGTAAATGTTGTTTTTTCTTGGTCCTCTGGGGCAATAGGAATTTGATGATAACCAGAATAACCATCCAAAAAATAATAATATTCATGTCCAGCAAGTTTCTCAATTGTTGGGATTAGGCCCAACGCCCATTTCGGGCCACATGCTGCAAGCCCAATCGCACATCCACTGGCCCAAGGTGATGGGACATGCCCACGTGGGCAGTAAAACGTGGGCCAATGAGAGGCTTACATGTGCAGATGCATGTTAGCACTTGGAGCTATAAATACCCCCCAACTACCTTTGAAGAAGGTAATGAATCTCTACGCTTCTCTCTCTGCAATTACTCTCTGAGAGCATCTCTCTCTAGAGTATTGAGTATTGCTAACTTGAGCATCAGAGTGTTTTCCCCGAGGAAACATCCTCGGGATTTTCAGGTGTAGAAGCAGCCGAGAACTTCAACGAGTGTTGGACTACAAAGCTACCCAAACATCAATCATTTGATCAATAAATGGCAGTGGAAAATGGTCTTTCCTAGTAACTTCGTTAAGTTTCCTATAATCTATACACACTCTCCACCCTGTTATTGTTCTAGTGGGAATTAATTCATCATTTTCATTTTTTACCACAGTTGCCCCACCCTTTTTAGGCACTACTTGCACAGGACTTACCCAAGTGCTATCAGAGATAGGAAAAATAATACCTGCATCCAACCATTTGATTACCTCCTTTTTGACCACCTCTTGCATGTTAGGATTAAGGCATCATTGAGGCTAAACAATCAGCTTGTGCCCCTCCACCAACAGAATTTTATGCATGCAAACCGAAGGGCTAACTCCTTTGATATCCGTTATGCTCCATCCTATGGCTCTTTTATGTTCTCGCAACACTCTTAAGAGTTTCTCCTCCTCAGTTCCTGTCAAAGAAGCAAAAATTATTACAGGTAAAGTATTTGCGTCACCCAAATAGACATACTTTAATTGAGAAGGAAGGGGTTTTAATTCAAGAGTAGGAGGCTCCTCTTTGGATGGCTTGACGCTCATAGTAGACGGTGCATCTAGGGGTAGAAAATTCCCTTCTTTTTGTGGCTGCCTATGCCATTTTTCCCCAAGAATAGCTGCTGCCTCCAAAATGTTATTGTTTGCACTATCAGCTTTCATATCCAAAGCATTAACAATGCAATTATCAACAGGATCATCTAATCTAGAAGCATTAAACTTTTCAGCTACTAAATTATCTACCACATGAATCCTTAAAATAGCACTTCCATCATGACCACAATTTTTCATAGCATCAAACACATTAAAAACAATCTCCTCATCATGTATTCTAAGACTAAGTTTTTCTTGTTGAACGTCAATAAGAGCTCTAGTAGTAGCAAGGAATGGTCTCCAAAGAATTAAAGGCATTTCAAAATCCTCTTCCATGTCAAGAACAATAAAATCAACAAGGAAAATAAATTTATCAACTTTTACCAAAACATTTTCTACCACTCCTCTTGAATATTTAATGCTCATTGATGCACTAAAGTCACTCTAGTAAGTGTACTAGTTGCTCCAAGTAATATAATGATGAGAAGAGTGTCGAACCCACAAGGATTGTGTTTAACTAAATACCAAAATAATTAATCCAAATTTATTTGAACAACCAAATGGGAAGAAAGTTTAACTAAAAAAATAATAAAAGAAAAATAACAATTAAATTAAACCTAATCAAGATAGGAGGTACTAAGGCATTGATTTCACCATAATCAATCAATATAAATTATGGAT